ATATAGCTCCCATATATAGCTTCGCCCGATTTTAGGTAAATAGTCCACTAAAGACATTGGAAATATTTTGACTTGCACGAAATTTGGCACAGCGTTATGAATAATGTCTAGAATGATGTTTGCCAAGAAATTTGGCACAGCGTACTAAATTAAGTATAGAATGATGTGTTCAAAGTTTCGTGAAAATCGGTTCAGATTTAGATATAGCTCCCATATATAGCTTCGCCCGATTTTAGGTAAATAGTCCACTAAAGTCCTTGGAAATCTTTTGATTTGCACGAATTTTGGCATAGTGTACTGAATTAAGTCTAGAATGACGTACTGATGTTATATAAATTAGTCTCTGGCAAGTTTCCCTGAAATCGGTTCAGATATAGATTTATAACAAAAACGCGTCGTCTGTTAGGATACATATGTCGGCCCGACTTTACTACTTTCCTTACTGGTTAAATGTACACCATGGAGAAAATGAGGGCGCAGACTATGGATAATATGAGAGCAACTAGGAAGCAGTATATTCCGAATTCTAGAGAAACTTGAATATGTCGTTTCTGTAGAAATATTTGCAGGCCTCTGACTCTGACGGGGACTGATTTTTCCGGTAGAAAAATATTGATTGTAATTTTTAATATCGGCAATCTTTTTCCTGAAAAACGTTCAGTTTGTAGAGCTATACAACGACAATTATTAATCGAGGACATTGAGACGAATAATTACTGTCGTTACGTATACGCACCCGAATCATAAACGAGTAAACAATATGTTCGGATGTTTCTCTATAGAAAACTTTCGTGTTTCTAAAGAGGTCTCTTACTACTGAAAATTACCTCTCCTCTACGACCTTCTTAGTTATAGGAATTAATGTCCTGTTCTTGTTTTTATTATTTTTTTAAATTATTTTTCGGTTCACATCACCCTAATATCCCTTTCGCCACAAAGTATTCTTATACCTGGAATACAACTATTGTAAATTGTTGTGTGTCTGTGTATGCGGTAGACGAGCAAAAAGGAAACCGCAAATATAGCTCTCTTGTACAACGACGACGACGACCAAAGTGTAGGATACCCCAAAATGAAACCAGAACATGAAGGATATTCTTCTGTTCTGGTGGTTTGCTGAGGTGGGTAATTATTTTGTTGTTGTTGTCGTATTTTTTGTTTCTTTTTGTTTGCCTTGCAATGTGGACCAGGACAGCAATTTTAATTTGTCATTTGAAACGATGAGTGGTGATACAATGATATTTTATACACAAACACAACTCAGTATTCTGTTTTACTCGTCCGCCACATCTTCATCTCCATTTCCACCTCTTTCTCTTAATAATTAATGTTTTTTTCAAAGACTTACTTCCGTTCGTTTGCTGTCTTTTTCACTTTTCGTTTTCCATTTTTTTTTCATTTCTGTTTTTTTTCGTAATTGTGGCATATTCTCCTTTTCATTGTTTATCTACCTCCATTGTAGCCCAAGCCCATTGTTTTGTCATGAGCAATACAAAATGTATATATCAGTAGATGTGTGTGTTTTAATGTCAGTTGCCATGGTTAAGAGAGAAGAAATATGGGAAAACAATTGAAAGGTTCTTTACAAACAAACGAAAAAAACCTCATGAAAAGATACCTTGTTGGAATATTACTGTAGATTTTTTAAGTTGCCATTAAAAACGAACAATAGGGGCTTAAAGTAAGTGGCGGATGTATAGGAAATTTGTGTGTGGCAATGTGACGATCCTTTAAGAGGATGGACTGCTGTACGTCGTTTGACTATAGAAATGTATTATTATCGGGTTTTGAATTACTGTACATAATAGCTGCATTTTCATGGAGGACATGGGGGCGTATAAGTAGTGTCAGTACTTATACGCAACCTGATTGAATTTTGAGAAATGATGAATGTACTGTTGCACTGCGAAGAAAAAAAAAACAGTCCTGAGAGTCTGTGATTTTTTTTCTATAGAAAACAAAACAGTCCTGAGGGTTTGCGAATTTTTTTCTATAGAAAAAAAGCAGTCCTAAGGGTCTGCGAATTTTTTTCTATAGAAAAAAAAGCAGAACTGAGGTCCTGCGAGACCAAGGACATATTTTACGAGCGCCTAGAAACAGCAACTGACCGTTGCCCTGGCCATGACATTAAAATTCTGCTAGGAGATTTTAATGCAAAAATCGGAAGAGAAAATATCTTTTGCCCCACCGTCGAAAAATTCAGCCTTCATGAAGAAACATCCGACAACGGCATGAGGTTGAGGTTGACTTCGCGGCAGCAAAAAACATGGTAGTTAGCAGCACCAGATTCAAGCATCTCGATATACACAAGGTCACCTCGATTTCTCCAGATCAAGAAGCGAGAAATCAAATTGATCATGTTGTGATAGACGGAAGGCATTCGTCAAGAATTTTAGACGTCCGATCGATACGAGGAGCGAATATCGATTCGGACCATTATCTTGTGGCAGCCAAGGTACGCACCCGACTTAATGTTGCAGCAAAGGTGCGATCGATTACAATACGGAAACTCGACGTCGAAAAGCTGCAAACACAACATGTAGCCGAGGCCTACTCCGCTCAACTTACCCATCTGCTTGAAGAAAACACTTCTTGTCCCGATAATAGTATAGAAGCACAATGGCAAAAAATTGCTCACTCCCTACAAACTGCAGCAAAAGGAACAATTGGGTACCAAAAACCACCACCAAGAAACCCATGTTACGATCAGGAGTGTCGTAATGCTACTGATGTGAAAAACGCAGCGTATAGGGCTACCCTGAAGACAGTAGCAACACGTAACGTGATGGAGAATTATCGGGAGAAAAGGAGAGAGGAGAAACGTGTTTTCAGAAACAGGAAGAAAGAACAAGAAAAACGTGAGCGTGAGCAAATCGAAATGTACAGGAGTCAGAATGAAGTCCGGAAATTTTACCAACGAGTAAAACACCAAATCGAAGGCTTTGGTGCAGGCATATCCTCCTGTAGAGATGAAGAAGGAAACCTAGTGACAGATACAGACAGGGTGTTGAGGATCCGGAAGGAGCATTTCGAAAAGCTTCTAGTATCAAATAGTGGCGATGAAGAAGATACCCCAGAACCAATAAGAGATGATGGTATAGAGTGTATACCACGTAGCCAAGATGAGGTCATAAAAGCAATTAATCGGCTCAAGAACAACAAAGCAGCAGGAGCCGATGGGTTACCAGCCGAACTATTCAAGACTGGTGGCCAGATGCTGGTCAGGAGCATGCACCAGCTGATTAGCAAAATTTGGCTAGATGAATGCATGCCCAATGGTTGGAACCTCCCGTGCACAAAAAAGGAGACAGGACGATATGTGCCAACTATAGAGGAATTAGTCTCCTTCCCATCGCATATAAAGTGCTATCAAGTGTGCTGTGTGTACGATTGAAGCCAATGGCCAATGACATCATCGGACCATACCAATGCGGCTTCAGACCTGGCAAATCCACCATTGACCAGATTTTCACCCTGCGCCAAATCCTGAAAAAGACCCACGAAAAACACATCGACACATACCACCTATTTGTCGACTATAAAGTCGCATTCGACAGCCCTATCCGTTCAGAGGTGTTTAAAGCCATGTCTGCGTTCGGCATTCCTGGAAAATTAATACTATGCAGGATAACTTTAAGTGGCACAAGGTCAGCAGTTAAAGTAGGAAAGCACCTATCGGAGCCCTTCAATACCGAACGAGGATTCAGACAAGGTGACATTTTGTCGTGTGATCTTTTTAACATCCTACTGGAAAAGGTCATACGAGACGCAAAGGTGAACAGAAATGGCACTCTGTACACCAAACAACACATGTTACTCGCCTACGCCGATGACATCGATATAATTGGTCGAACATTGCGAGCGGTAACAGCCACCTTTGAACAAATTAAAAAGGAGTCTGCAAAGTGGGTCTGGCAGTAAACGGCGAGAAGACCAAGCTGATGGTATCAACGCGCAAGACGTCCAGTAGACTCGGACCAACTGTGGAACGTGAGAACTACAGCTTCGAGGTAGTTAAAGACTTTATATACCTTGGTACCGCCATAAATAAAACGAATGACATCAGTTTTAAAATTCGGAGAAGGATTGTGATGGCCAACAGATGCTACTATGGTCTAAGTAAGCAGTTTAGAAACAAGGCCACCTCCCGCCAGACCAAACTCACACATTACAAGACGCTGATACTACCCGTGCTATTATATGGTTCAGAAGCATGGGTACTTGCGCAAGCAGATGAGGCAGCTCTTGGGGTGTTTGAGAGAAAAATTCTCCGAAAGAGCTACGGGCCGATCTGCGTCGACGGTGAATATCGGCGTCGAATGCACCACGAGCTTTACAATTTATACGAGGACATCGACATAGTCAGTCGTATTGAGCTGCTTAGATGGAAAGACCAAGTAGAAAATAACATCTTGGAACGTGGTCTTCCAAATTGGTGGATTTGCACACAAGACCGACGCGCTTGGAAATCTGTTTTAAGCTCGGTTTATGGAACAACCGTTCTGTAGCAAGCCACCTAAGTAAGGTCCTGCGATTTTTTTTTTTTTATAGAAAAAAAGTAGAACTGAGGATCAGTGAATTTTAAAGGGTATTTTTTCTCACTTTAATTTGTTGGCCCCTGGTTGCGTATGAGTATTGACATAATGTATACGCCACCTTGGAACATTTGTCTTTTTATGTCTGTATCTATCTTTCCGGCATTCTTTTCTTTTCTGTCGCAATAAATTACCAACATTCTTAACATTCGTAACAATGTGACCGTTAATGTGACAGGGAAAAGAAAAATCACAATCATCCACATCGTCATCATCATCATTATTATTATCATTATAATGAAATGTCTTGTTCTTTATTAATATGGCCACGTCCGGTAAAATATCAAGAAGGTAAAAGAAAGATATAAACCTTGGTGGCTGGTATCTTGTGGCTCTTGTAAAGTAATATTTAATCGTGCGAAAAAAGAAGAGAAGAACAAAAAACGAAATTGTATTCTTGCTTACCTGATTTCCTTTGGAGCCATGGCAAGGATACAGCATAACATCATGTCCAGCATAATCAAGACAGGCTTCATCACGGCGAATTTCACCTGCCTTACTCAGCATCCAGTACTGCAATAATGTGAGTGTGTGTGTTTGTGCGAGAGTGTTTCAAAATTCATCCAACCATATGAAGAATGGTTAACCACCACACGTAGAAGATTTTAGGATAGGTTTAGGACGCGATGCAGCATATGGAAGACGTTGACGGGGGGTTTTATAAATGGTTTTTAGTTTATATGATAAAGCACCAGCAGCAGATATGCAAAAGGTTGGAAATTGCCACAAAGTTATTGCCATATGTTAGGCACACGCACACACACATAGTTTATATTGCATACATCCAGGCATCATAGTTGGCGATGGTTGGTAGTAACAGGATTTTGTTGTTGTTGCATACATTTTTAGTGGTTCAGGCGAAAAAATTTAATAGAAACGTAAAATGAAATAGAAAGAAAACATTATTAATAAAAGTGTCATGGTATGTGTGCGAGAGTTGAAATGAATGTGCATGGGTGTCAGTGACTGTAGAGAATGCAATTTATTTTTTTCCTTGGTTATTTTTATTTAAGGCAAATATTTTTCCCAACAACAGCAAATGTATTTAGAGTGCACAGTAAATTCAAATAAGTACAAAATAATTGTTGAGATATTTTTTTTATTATTATTTCATTGCATATTTTTATGCGTAGAACAAAATTTTTAAAAATATAGTCTTTGGTATATTAAAAACAATTTACTATGGAAATTCTTTTACAATTGCAAAATAATATGAAAAATATTTTAATATATAAAAATATTATATTCTTATTATCAAAAATAAAAAAGAAACTCAGGACGTATTAGTATTGACGTTACTAATACGGTGTTACTGAGGAACTTGAGGGCGTGTTAGTATTGACGTTATTAATACGGCGTTACTAGGTCACTTCAGGGCGTATTAGTATTGACGTTACTAAATCGCTCATTCCGAACCATTTTGATATACAAATGTAAACCTGAGCGGGAATAAGTCTTTCTGTTTCAAAAAAGAAACAGTCCCAAGATATTGAAAATATTTTTCGTTTTGGGGGAAAAAAATTTGCATTAGAGAACTAGGGTTCTTTATTTAAACCACATTTTTGGAAAAAATCTCTTCTGGAGCAATGAAAACTTTATGCTATGGAAAAATTCCACATCTCGAGAACTATGAACTGTGGAAAATATCTGTCCTGGAGCAATGCGAAAAAGTCACAAGTTATTGAAATTTTTTTTCGTTTTGGGAAAAAAAATTAGTATTAGAGAACTAGGGTTATTTTTTTAAAGAAAATTTTTGGGAAAAATATCTTCTGCAGCAATGAAAACTTTATGCTATGGAAAAATTCCACTTCACGAAAACTGAGCAGTTTTTTTCTGTGGAAAATATCTGTCCTGTAGCAATGCAAGTTTTATTTAACAAAAATATAAAACAATCTTGAGGCGTATTAGTATTGATTCGGCATTACTTAGGAACCTCTGGACATATTAGTATTGACATTACTAATACGCTACAGATTCCTTATTACATACAGTAATCGCCTGAGCGGGAATAAGAAATCAGTGTTCAATAACCGCATTTTTTTTAATGAGAAAAATTATTCCGGGAATTGTTTCAATTAAAATAAAAATACTAATTCTCGAGAACAACGAAAAGTTTTTATAAAAATATATCATGGGTTAATACGATTTTTTTTCAATGGAAGAAATGTCAAATCTTAAGAACATGCGACTTTTCTATGGAAAAAACATATTTCGGAAATCTTGTAAAAATGCACAACTCCGGAACTAAGAATTTCCTTTTTCAGCCATAAATGACTTTGATATCTTCTTTAAAAAATCGGTTCATAAAGATTATGTGGTATAAAAATCATAATGCTACATTTCTATTAATAAAGCCGTAAGGGAACTTTTGGGCGTATTATCATTGTCGTTACTTATACGTCGTTACTTATACGATATAGACAGCTGTGATTTGTCTGTGAAAAAATCTGAATTATATTATAAGGTAAAATGTTAGTTCTTGAGTTCTGCGAATTTGATTCTAGGCTAATAAATCATTCTGTAATTTTTTGAGAGGCCTTGAGGACTCCGTTTTATTTTACAAAACAAAAATATGTTCCCTTCGGAGCGTATTAGTGTTGTTGCTACTTATACGCCTCCGAATCTTTATCATGAAAATAAAAATTATACAACCAGGAATACATTCTTTAGTTTTAGACTAAATGTCCAAGAGCCACATTTTTTTCCTTTGGAAAAATCCTTCTATGTTTTCCATGTTTTTTTTTCAACAGAACGGCAAATTATTTATTTGGGGAAAGTATGTCTTTGAACACTCAGAACTTAATTCATTGTAAAATTTCAGTTCCCAAGATGCGAATTTTCAAATTTTTTTCTAGGAAAAAGATTTTGATTTTTGTTTCTATGAAAAATTCAAAGGTTCTCCTAACTATTTTTTATTAGAAGTAAATTTTATGTCCCTCACAACTGAGTTTTTTCTTTAAAAGAAATTCGTTTACCATCAGATTTGGCATTTTTCATTTTATTATGTATTGTGTTCATGGGTCTTCGGGTCGTATAACTATTATCACAATGTATACGTCTCAGTGACCCTTATTATTTATTTAATAATATATTTTATCTAGCGAAAAAAATAGTGTTTAGGATAGGCTTTGGAGATTAATATTGTCCATAGAAAAAAACCACCGATCCTCCTGTTTATTTTTTATAGAAATAAATTCGTTGTCCCTCACCTCAGTGTTTTTTTCTACAGAAAAGTTCTTCGCAGTTCCTTTACACTATTATTTTTTCTGTAGAACAAAATTCGCCGGTTCTTAAGACTGATTTTTGTTTAGAAACAATTGCTTGCCATTTTTAACCTGTTTAAATAATAATTTGCTCATGGGTCTTTGGGTTGTATAACTATTATCACAATGTATACGCCCCTGTCACCTTTATTAATTATTTAAGCATCTATTTTTATCTATGGAATTAAATCAGTGCTTATGGTTGGCCTTCGGGAATAATTTTGTCTATTGAAAAAAATGGCACGTTTTTCTGAATAATTTTTCATAGAAAAAATCGTTATCTTCTCTATGTTTTCTTCTAAGAAAAAAAAACTTCGCAGTCCATCTACACTAGATTTTTTTCTGTAAAATAAAAGTATCATGCTCTCCAAGAAATAGATAGAAGATAGAAAAAAATGGTTGGCCAGCAGGAACGCCGTAATTTATGTATAAAAAATACATTGTTCATTGATCTCCGGGCCGTATAACTATTATCACAATGTATACGTCTCATTGACCCTTATTATTTATTTAAGCATCTACTTTATATATAGAATAAAATCAGTGCTTAGGGCTGGCCTTCGGGAGTAATTTTGACTATAGAAAAAATTCAAAGGTTCTCCTGACTAATTTTTCATAGAAAAAATCGTTATCTCTGACCTCTGTGTTTTTTTTTTACAGAAAAGTTTTTCGCATTCCCTTTACACTATTCTCTTTTCGGTAAAATAAAAGTCGCATGTCTTCTAGGAAATAGAGAGAAGATATAGATACAAATGGTTGACCAGCAGGATTGCCGTTATTTTTGTATAAGAAATATATTGTCCATAAGGCTCCGGGTCGTATAACTATTATCACAATGTATACGCCTAAGTAAAACTTTTTATTTATTTAATTACCTATTTTGTCAGAGTATTTTTTTCTAGAAAGAAAAAAATTGCAGGACCACAGATCTACTTTTTTCTTTGAAAAAAAAAAAATCGCAGGACCTCATTTCTGTTTTTTTAAGAGAAAAAAATTGACAGGACCTCAGTTCTGTTTTATTCCACAAAAAAAAGTCGCAGGGCATCATGTCCGCTTTTTTTTTTCAATAGAAAAAATTCACAGGAACTCAGTTCTGCATTTCTTCGATGGAATAAAAGTCGCAGACCTTCATGACAGATTTTTCCTGTAGAAAAAAATTGTTCGACCTCAGAACTGCTTTTTTGTATCTAAAAAATCGCAGATCTACAGGACTGGTTTTTTAGAGTAAAAACTCACATGCCCTTATTTCCGCTTTTTTCTATGGAAAAAATAACGCAGAATTCTCAGTTCTGTTGGCTTTTCTATAAAAATATTTAATTTTATTCCTGGTTCTCTGGGTCGTATGACTATTGTCCCAACGTATACGCCTCAATTGCCCTTTTTATTTATTTATGAGCCAAAACTTGTGTGTGTGTGTAAATATCTCATTAAACAAATAATTTTTGCAAAAAAATAATAAAAATAAATTCCATATTTTTTGTTCGTGTTGCTGCAATTGCCATAAAATTGTCAATTATTTGGTATATTTTTATACCACAATATATATATATATGTTTGTACATATTTCCAATTTAATTGGCAATTGTTAATATTATACTGGTGCACCATAAATATTAGCTGGTTGGTCATAATCACAATTTAACAGTAATTTTATAATAAATATACTTAATATAGAATGGCAAATATTTGCAAATATGATAATAATATAAATATAGATATGTATGTATGTAAATAGCCACAAACTCCGTTAAAAATTAGATATAGATAGCAACGATGATTGTATATTGCCAAAAAAAGTGTACTTATCATCACAAAAACCAAACCAAAAAACTACAAGCGTGATGTTCAGTTTGCATTAGCTGTAGAGAGAAAAAATCCAGTTGCATTTGGTGAAAAAATTGCACAGGTGAAAACGAATCTACTTGTGAGGTCATAATGCAGCAGGTGAATTTATTCCGGCTACTAGGAAATAATTCCTAACAATATTTTATGCGAAATGAGAGTGTGGTTGTTTTAATTATTCTTATTCTCTTTTTGCATTTTTTCCAAAGCTAATTAGCCGGCATCAGCGATGAGCTGGCTATACCATTCTGAAATGCTTTCCCCAACAACACACCCCTACCCAGCACCCATTATGACACCATCAGTTTCACAAAATACCTTAATAAATGATGCTGGCAAATAAAATTCATAGCGTAAGCTAATTAGTATACGTCTACATAGCCGTCCAATACAAATCGAAACATAAAA